ACACACACACACACACACACACACACACACACACACACACACACACACACACACACACACACACACACACACACACATATGTTTACGAAGCTTGCACGTGAACAAACAGTTTTGATTGTCATCATTAACCTGTTTGTCCATGAGCTGTTTATAAGGCTGAGTTTACCTGAAACTCCTCAGACTGAAGACGTCTCTTAGAGGAGAGACGAAAAGTGTTTTTAACAAAGAAGAACTCTTCTAGAGGACCTACTGAACAGCTGCTGAAGCCTCCCAGCTCCTCCATCCAAGCCAGCATAATTTATTCTTTATGGGTCTTCCTCTGGTTTCATAAAATAACTGCAGTCACCCTCATGCTGCTCACAATGTTTATGGAGGTTTACAAAATTTACATAGTGTAAAAAAAAAGAAGAAACTTTTTGTGTACCCAGGGTTCAGTACAGTGTCCTGACGCATCACCAGCTGAAAGTAGGGGTCTGAAAACTGAAGACGCTCCTCTAGAAAAATGCCTGTTCACAGGACTCTCATGCTACATAGGTAGCATGCTACATAGGTAGCATGCTACACGCTACATGCTGCATGCTACATGCTGCATGCGACGTTCTACATGCTGCATGCTACATGCTGCATGCCGTATGCTACATTCTACATGTAGCATGCTACATGCTGCATGCTACATGCTGTATGCTACATGCTACATTCTACATGCTGCATGCCACATGCTACATTCTACATGTAGCATGCTGCATGCTACATACTACATTCTGCATGCTGCATGCTACATTCTACATGCTGCATGCTACATGTAGCATGCTATATTATACATGTTGCATGCTACATTCTACATGCTGCATGCCACATGCTACATGTAGCATGCTATATTATACATGTTGCATGCTACATTCTACATGCTGCATGCCACATGCTACATGTAGCATGCTACATTCTACATGCTGCATGCCACACTCTACATGTAGCATGCTACATTCTACATGCTGCATGCCACATGCTACATGTAGCATGCTACATTCTACATGCTGCATGCCACATGCTACATTCTACATGTAGCATGCTACATGCTGCATGCTTCATGCTGTATGCTACATGCTACATTCTACATGCTGCATGCCACATGCTACATGTAGCATGCTGCATTCTACATGCTGCATGCTACATTCTACATGCTACATGCTGCATGCTACATTCTACATGCTACATGCTGCATGCTACACTCTACATGTTGCATGCCACATGCTACATGTAGCATGCTACATTCTACATGTTGCACTCTACATTCTACATGCTGCATGCTACATGCTGCATGCTACGTGCTGCATACTACATGCTGCACGCTACATGCTGCACGCTACATGCTGCGTGCTACACTCTACATGCTGCATGCTACATGCTGCACGCTACATGCTGCATGCTACATGTTGCACGCTACATGCTGCATGATACACTCTACATGCTGCATGCTACATGCTGCACGCTACATGCTGCATGCTACATGCTACATGCTGCATGCTACATGCTGCATGCTACATGCTGCACGCTACATGCTGCATGCTACATGCTGCATGCTACATGCTGCATGCTACATGCTGCACGCTACATGCTGCATGCTACATGCTGCATGCTACATGCTGCATGCTACATACTGCACGCTACATGCTGCATGCTACATTCTACATTCTACATGCTGCATGCTACACTCTACATGCTGCATGCTACATGCTGCACGCTACATGCTGCATGCTAAATGCTGCACGCTACATGCTGCATGCTACATGCTACATTCTACATGCTGCATGCTGCATGCTACATTCTACATGCTGCATGCTACATGTAGCATGCTACATTCTACATGTAGCATGCTACATTCTACATGCTGCATACTACATGCTGCATGCTACATAGGTAGCATGCTACACGCTGCATGCTACCTGACCCGAGAGTTTACTCCTCCCTATGCTAAGAAGAAGTAAAGTATGATGGAGAATTAGGGCCACACAATGAGATTTTTTATTATTATTATGAGAATAAAGTCCAAATATTACAAGATTAATGTTGTAATCTTATGAGAAAAAAGGCATAACATTGTGAGAAAAAAGTCAATCTTATCATTTACCATTCCTGATTTATTTTTACTAGTTTCCTCCTGATTTTCCTCACACCTGCTGTGGACAGCCATGCACGTGTGTTTATAAAGTAGTCTGCCATGACTTTGGTCACTGTTAGTGTAATATGCTTTCATCCAAATTAAATGACAACTAAATCTGTCAGTGTATTAATTACAATACAGCTTGAGTTTATCATATAGTCGTTTGCACAATTGTTTCAAAGTCCTGCTACTGATAATTTGATGCTAATGTGCAAAGAGATTAAGTATTAATTTTAAGAACAGCTTCACAATTTGGTCAACATTCCTCATTTTAATGCAGTGGTAAGACTGTTTTTCATGTAAAGGATAGGCTTTATGTAAAGTAAAGCATGACTTTAATCTAATATTACAACTTTAATCTCATAATATTATGACTTTATTGTCATTTGACTTTATTCTCGTAATGTTGCAACTTTGTAATTTAAAAAAAAATCTTGTGCGGGCCTAATACTTTGTTGTAGAAAAGAACTTGTGATTCAGAAACCTATACCTCAGGGCTCTAGAGTGCTACCAATTTGGTCGCAAATGCGACCTGATTTCCTAATAGTGCGACTAAAAAAAATGTCCGTCACACTGGTGCGACCAATAGTTTGAGGGGGAGGGGGAGCGGTCGCCCGCTGAAACAAAAAGTTTCCATGTTCCATAAAACTATTCCAGCAGTATCAATGGTCGCCCGCCGACAGTCTCATGTCTCCTAATGACACAGCGCTCTGCTCGCGGCTCCGCTCCACACCTCCCGAGCACACACTGTTGTTCTATCCTCATGGGGACTTTGTATTGACTTCCATTCATTTCCCCGTCAATTCTACAACCAACCATAACCTCCAAGGTAGGCTACACACCTGACCCAAACTGAAATAATATAATAAGATTCAACAAATGCTAATTAAATTGCTGACTTGTATGTGTTATTTTTTTTTTAAATGTGCACAACCTTTTAATAATTATCAGTAATATTTCTGTTATTAATCATTATTCTCTGTTCATCATTCTGGTTTATCCAAGGCCAAAGATCCATAGTTGTCCATCTGAGGGGCATGTGTCTAAAAAATTAACCATGAAATGTTTAAGATGTTTATAAGATGTTCAGCCCTTAAACATTTGCACTTAGAATTTTATAGAATCACTTGAAATACTTTTCAGTAAGTTAAATGTCTACAATTCTGGTTCAAATAAAGAACTTCATGTTTACTAGATTGTTAACTAATTATTTTCAAGTTAATATTGCCTTAATGAACAGTGATTTTAAAAAATAACCTGTAAAACTCTGATGTTAAATGTGACATGGTTGAAAATATGGGTGCATCTAACTTTTGTGCTGGTGTGCCTAAGAAAAAATGTTAGGAGCACCGGTGCAACCAGTGCAAAAAGTTAGTCTAGAGCTTTGCTACACCTCCATGTCCCATCATGTAGAGCAGTGTTTCCCTAAGTTTGGGTCGGGACCCAAAGTGGGGTCCCGAAACATCAAGGTGGGGTCCTGAAAAGATTTTCTGAATTAATGACATTTTTGCCTTAGTAGTTACAAAGGAGTGAGGTTAGTGTGTTTAAAATGGATAAATGTAGTATAAAAATATTGTTACTATGCCCATGTTTTGTTGACCTGATACAAATGTTTATCATCCAAAAATAGTTGTGGACACAGGTCTCTGTTACTGCTATTTTGTGGGTCAAAAGCTGAAAGGTTTGGGAACCACTGCACTTTGGTTCCCAAAGTTGGGCTTGGGACCCAATTATGGGTCATGAAGCACCTTGGATAATCTCCAGAAATTAATTTAAAGGGTAATAAAATAACTGCTGATGTAATAGTTTCCCTATAATTATTACAAAAATACAAAATAAGTAAAAAATAAGTATTTGTATTTGTGTACAAGCTGTTTAGATTGTCAAAAAGCCTGTGTTTTTAGGGTTATTAACAAAGTTCATGTACTCAGACCAGTAATATTTGGGGTCACAAGTTTTTGCCATGGATATTTTGTGGGTCAGAAGATCAAAAGTTTGGGAACCACTGATGTAGAACACGTTGAATCACCTTGTTGCTGAAATGTTTTGTATAAATAAACATCTTCAACTGTTAACTTTGCTTTCAACTAAAGCTCTCTTTTGAGAATTAAGTGGTTTTACTAATTATGTAACTCGTTTAAATAATCAGTTTATACAACAAACCTGTACATTGAAAGAGAGTAATGTTGTTTGTTTATGGCTGTGTATATGATGACATGTATGATTGTAACTGAGGTGTCCATGTCTTTTTGTCTGTCCTACAGGAGACACTGTGTGGCTGCCCGGTCAGGAGCTGCCTTTATCTCCATGGGACCTGGTCAGAAAGCCTCTCAGTCAGTGTATCACCATCCGCCTCAAAGGTACAAACCTGGCAGCCACAGTCAGTGGGCTCCTGCTGTCCCTCAGCCAGCAGTAAAACTGAATCAGAGCTGCCGTCACGGGGGACTAATACCACTTGGTGGATAAAAGGGATTTACAAATTTCGTTTTGGATCCATTAACATGAAAAGGCTCTGATGTATCAGGTTCAACAGCACGTTAGAGAAAACCCAACCGGGGACATGTTTGCCAAATGAGTCTTTTGAGTAGTTCATAACTGAGATCAATTTATTCTAACTCTAGATCTGATTAATCATTCAGTCACATAATTTAATATTAAACAACAATTCACATATTTAATGGAATACCAATAGTTAAGAAAACCAAAGTGCTGTATGAAAAGTTTTGTTTTTTAAAGGAAGGGGTAGGCAGTGTCTGATAGGGCCATACTGACATGTCAAAGTAATCAAAGGACCACATTCAGTCCAACCTACAGGTGGTTTATCTGCTGCCTCGTGGTGTTTCTGAAGCTTGTTGTTTGTGAGTTTGTACAACAGCATGAACTCGGTGTTAGCTTTTGCAGCCCAGTTCAAGCTTAACGCTGTCAATTTGTGCCTCACATCTGTAATAATTGCTTCCATCGCCTGCTCATTGTCACAGTCAACCATCTATATTTTCTGTCATTATGTGTTGGTCTGTTTCAGACTAACCATACATGTCAACCTTGCCGGACGTTTACCTGTATAAAGAGCCTCAAAAATCCGTAAATTTTGCAAAAACATCCGTACAACTTGTACCCGGGGGGGTGGGGGGGTGGGGTGTCTGTCAACTGCGGACATGAAAGCACCCGCTGCGAAGCAGGAGGAAAGGAGAGCGGAAAAAAGTTCAAAACTTATTTCTAGCGGCAGAACAGGTTAGAAGATGGCTGTTTGATGTTATTTATTGTTTTTTAAATCATCCTGCAGGCTCTGACATGTTAGATAAAATTTGAAAATGAGGTTTTGAAAAAATCCGTGAGATTGCTCTATACGTCCCTATACCTGCAAAATGACATAAAATCCTTATAATTTACAGACATGCCGTACAAGTTGACATGTATGTAAAACTCATCTACAGTACTATAAATATAACATCATTTCTTCTATAAGTTTGTGTATATATAAAAATGCTGTGTTTTTTATAGAAAATGTTTTAACTTTTATAAGAAGCCTGATGAATTTTTCTCAATTTTTACTTTAAAACAAACTAAACTTTTAGTTTCACGAGTTTTGCTGGAGAAATCATTTGATCCCATCAGACACGGTGAATTGTTCCTTTGGATCTTACACATCTGATATTTGAGGTTTCGTTACATTTTAAACATGACAGTAAAGAGTAAATGTGTTCGCTCTATAGACTGAACCGGCTCATATCTTGAATTCCTTTTACTCACTGCTACAAAAGCTGAGTTGCAGTTTAATGAGTTAATGACTGTATCCTGTGTTCCCTCCTGCTGCTGACTGTCTCCTCCCTCAGCTGACAGGTGTCAGTCTAAAGATTACTGGTGCTGTCATGAAGCCTGCAGTATAATGTGTAGTATTACACAGGTTCTACCACTGTCATCCTCATTTATCTAATGCAAATGAAGAATTGGGCAGATAAAAAAACAAAATACAAAGTTGGATCAAGCATTTCTTGATGTTTTAGTCTTACAATGGGTTAGAGTTAAAATGTTTAAATTACATTATGCAGGGTATCATTCAATATTAACAGCTTTTCCTAAACCTGTTAGTGCTTGGACTGTGTGTTGAGGATGACTCTGATACTACCACATAAAATAATTTTTAAACTTTAGTTATAACTGTTTGTGTGGTTGCTTCGATTGATGACCACCTTGAACTGGACCAACTCGAAAATATAGTTGATTGCACTTTATCCAGTGGTTCGTGAGATATTTTGCTAACAGATGGACAAATGACTACACACAGACAGACAGGCGCAACATTTTTATGCCCTTTCATCTTTGGCTGAGGGGATAATAAAGGAGGGAACACAAGAACATAGTTTATGAATAAAAAAAACATTGTATTTGATATATAAAAGCAGTAATACGGAGTATAAAATTTTTCTTACAGTAACATCCATTAATCTTTTTCTTTTTAACAAGAAACATAAAACATATGGGGGGAAAAAGTTGATTAACTTAATGTTTTTGTCACAGCAAAGTTACACAAATGTATACACAGAGGTTTATAGTAACTAAGTGCATTTACTTTGTTACAGTACTTCAGTAATTTTTTTGAGGATTTATAATTTTACAAAGTATTTTTAAATCATGACTTTTGACTTTTACTTAGTTACTTTTAAAACCTAAAAATGATACTTTTACTTATTTACTCTAAAATTTAATCCCTAGTTACTTGTAAATTAAATCTGTCTGAACTCATCATGAAAGGAGTTGTTTATGTGCTCTAAATAATTAAGTGTTGAATTTACTCAACTAAATCATGAACTATTTCCACTAAACCTAGTAGAGTAAATTTGAGGCGATATTATTAGAATTTGACCAGTTTAATCAGCTTGGTTTTGTGGAGCCAGTTTGTTTGTGTAAATTCAACAATTTGTTAGAGAGCGTGGAAAAGTACTTTTACTTCTACTTTCCCAGTTTTTGTGAACAATTTTATGACTTTTACTTAAGTAGTTTTCTCTTCAGTGACATTTATTTTTACCAAAGTCATTTTCTGTTCATGTAATTTTACTTTTATTTAGTTATTTTTATCAAGTACGTTATAGACCTCTGCGTGTACATTAACCTACATCTACACATCTGTACACACATTCACCTGAACAACTTCAATAACATATTCATACAGACAAACAAACACAGTTGTTAAATATTCCAGTTTTTAATTTTAACAATATATTTTTTTAACTGAAACTTGTGTAGAACCTGAACCTGTTCCTTAGAGCAGATCTGAGGAGGTGTGTGTTTTTGACAGGTCTGCCTCAGTCGTGTCTCGATGAGCTGGCTCTGGAATCCCTCTTCCCCGTGCCGCTGCTGCACAACTGTGCCCGCCTGGTAAACACACACACACACACACACACACACACACACACACACACACACACACACACACACACACCTTTATTCAGACACACTCAGAGGACTGTAAAAGGATGGGGGATTAGCAGGCAGAGATCTTGGAGAATAGGAAGTAAAGTGAGAAGCATGTGTCAGTAGAAATGGTGAAGAAGCAGGTGCAGATGAAGGGGAATAGAAGGAAAAGGGATCAACAGTTCTCACCATTTCCTATCAGCTTCAGCGCCCCCTGCAGGTTGTGCAGAGTGCACAACCTGGAAGAAAGATGAAATTCAGGCAAATCTGTGATTTTATCAGTGGTGGGCAGCACTAATCTAAAAATTAGTTCCACTAGCCCTAAAGCACTAACTCTAATATTTAGGTCCCCTAATTCTAAAGCACTAAAATAACCCAGTCAACCTATGAACATTCTTCAGCAGACAACATGAGTTACATGTTACCATGTTACTCTCTTAAGACTTATCATTGACATTCTACAGCTGTTTTCGAGTTCATTTATTGTTAATATATTGTCACCTGGTGGATCAGTGACACACACATGAACAACATGTCATACCTTTCACCCTCAGCTGTTAACATTAACATTGATCAATAACATTTATAGATCTCAGTTAGTGCTTCTAAATTTAGCCTATAAATTTAGCAAGGGCTAATCCACTAAAATATTTTTAATTAGCAAAAGCCCTAAAGCACTAATCAGGAAATTAGTTCGCTTACTAGTGCTTTAGTGCTTTAGGGAACTGTGCCCACTACTGGATTTTATTTTATGTGGTTTATAGAAAAGAAAGTGTAAATCTACCTGACAGATTGTTGTGAAACAGGGATTAACATGCTTACATGGAGGCAAAGATTCACTCTGATCCAGTATTCTCACTGTTCAGGTGTTTCTCTGTCTGTATACAGGTGGAGCAGTACGGAAGCCTCATCTTTCAAGGGCTGGAGGGCAGCTGCCTGGAGTACGTTGCCAATCTGGTCGCTCGCTGCATCAAGGTACGTCCACGGCCACTGAACCACTGCCACAAAGAGCTGAGAAGTCACTGAAGTGGAACAATCTAATCCAAAAACCTGATCAGGAAAGTTCATGGTCAGAGTGACCAAGAGAAGTGAGACAGTCAATGTGTGTGAATGTGTGGAAGCTGAGGGGAACAGTAGAAGTAGAAACAGGTATCGAAAAAGAAATAATTTAGGTATCTGGGGCCACCCAGACAATTCAACATGCAATGTTCAAGAGAAGTGAAGAAGAGAACAGGCAGGGTGGAGAGGATAAAGACAAGAAGTGAGCTGAAAAAGACAAACAGCAGGTTTACAAGGTGGTAAATAGCCTTGATGGTGTTGGGTTTAGAGATGGTGGGGCTAACAAAAAGCCTGGAGGTGGCAGAGGTTAAAAAAATGTTCAGACTTTTATTGAAAGTGACCTAAATTGACAAGATAATGAGAGCTCAGCTTCAGAGGTTTAAGTCTGAGATAGTTTGAATATGAGCAGAGGATGAACAGTGGATATTTGGGACAAAATATGGAGCTGCCAAAGAAAAGGAAAAGCGCAGAGAAGGTTCATGAATGTGGTGAAAAGGGATATTTAGAAGGTTGGTGTGACAGAGGAGGATGCTGGGATAGCAGAGATGGAGGGAGATTATTCCCTAAAAGGCACAGCTGAAGAATAAAACAGGCCATTAGTTATCCTCTCATTAAACATAAATGAAATGTTGCTTTGTTGCACAGGTTAGATGTTAGCACAGATTAGCTGATGTAATTGAACCGATTTTGTACGCAAACACAGACGTGTTATCTTACTACAGTGAGCCTCTGGTGTTGCAGTCTGCTATGGCCTGTTTGTATGAGGGAGTGTTATTTCAGGTAGGCGATTGGCAGGCCCTGCTGTACGGTGACAACTCAAAGATTGTCTGGCCTCTCCTGGCTCCTCCGGGTGGACCTCCTCCTCTACCGAGTTGGATCATTCATCTCCATCTTCCAATCTGTGCAGGCCTCCCAATATTTAAGACCAGCTGTTCTTAGTCTGAGCAGTTTGCCATCTGGGTTTTTTTTTTTTTTTTTTTTTGTCTTGGTGTGTTAAGCTTCGACCTTGGCTTAGTTTGATTTTTGCCAGGTCTTATTGTTAAAGTGTGTGACTAAAGGTTTGGTCTTATGGTCTGTATTAGTAAAACCTTTTTTGTAGACTTCTGTAAGCTGACTCAGAGGGCCTACTTGTAAACATTTGAGTGCTTTGGATTAGGGCCAAAAGCTTTGTTGGTTTTGTTAGTTTATTTGTTTAAGAAATCTACCAAATTTGGTGATCATTTTGTTTTAGTTTTACTCCAGTAGTTTAATTTTGTTTTCTTACTTAGACAGCAATACATATTAGTATAACCGACAGTTACAGTCAGACTCACCGACAGCTACAGTCTGAATCACAGATGATTACAGTCTGACTGACAGATGGCTACAGTCACAGACAATTACAATTTGACGGACTTACATCTACAGTCTGACTGACAGATGGCTACAGTCACAAACGGTTACAATCTGACTCACCCACGGTTACAGTCTGACTCACTGAATGCTACAATCTGTCTCACCCACAGTTACAGTCTGACTGACAGATGGCTACAGTCACAGACGATTACAGTCTGACTGACAGATGGCTACAGTCACAAACGGTTACAATCTGTCTCACCCACAGTTACAGTATGACTGACAGATGGTTACAGTCACAGACGATTACAGTCTGACTCACAAATAGCTAAAGACACAGACGTTACAGTCTGACTCACTGACGGCTACAGTCTGAAGTACAGATAGCTAAAGACACAGACGTTACAGTCTGACTCACTGACGGCTACAGTCTGAATGACAGATAGCTAAAGACACAGACGTTACAGTCTGACTCACTGACAGCTACAGTCTGACTCACAAATAGCTAAAGACACAGACGTTACAGTCTGACTCACTGACGGCTACAGTCTGAAGTACAGATAGCTAAAGTCACAGACGTTACAGTCTGACTCACTGACGGCTACAGTCTGAATGACAGATAGCTAAAGACACAGACGTTACAGTCTGACTCACTGACGGCTACAGTCTGAATGACAGATATCTAAAATCACAGACGATTACAGTCTAACTCACAGATGGCTACAGTCACGGAAGGTTACAGTCTGATGGTTACAGTCTGACTCACCGATGGCTACTGTCTGGATCAGAGTACTCTTCCTCTTGTGTTGCCATGGTTAAAGTTGCTAATGGTGTTTGTTCCTGTGAGATTTCTGTGGTCTTACATTTTTTGTAATCATAAAAATGAGGATGCTTACATTTGCAGCTAAATTTTTGGTTTGTTCATGTCACGTTTCATAATAATACTTGTAATAGTAGTGTTAGTGTTCACTAACATTCAGCTTCACTATCTGGTTTTATCAGGGCTGTGTTGTAGGAAAACATGCCATCATTCATCATGTTCCTCTCTTTTCTTTTTTTCTCTGCTTTTTTCATTTATGGCAGCGGGGGTCCTTCTGAATGTCAGATATGTTATCTTTATGCATTTTATTTTTCAGTTTATGGCCGCCCTCTGTAGTGGTGACACACAGATGATAACGATGAACTATATTGAGCAGCCCCGTTTGCGATTGTATTTTTGTAAACATACTGTATCATTCTGATGCAGTACAGAATAAATCAGCTGTAAACTCACATTTTTCTCTCTGACAGCAGAGAGGGACATGTCTGAAAAAACAAAAAAGCTTTTTGTGTTCATTCAAACCCTCCTCCGGCTCCATTTCTCTCAGCGCACTGTAGTAGTACATTCTCTGTGTTCCCATGGCAACACACTCTCATCTTACATTATTCTGTCTCTTCTTTCCCCTCCACCCCTTCCTTTTCTCCGCCTGTGTTTGTTCCAGTGGAAGCAGGAGGCGGGGGGCATCAGCTGCGATGTGGTCAGGGTGGAGGTGGACCAGAACCTGAGCAAAGAGCAGCTGCTAGACACTTTCATCAGCTGTGGTGAGAAATGTGCACGAGGAAACACACTGAATGCTTGTTCGTGGTCCGTTCACAACACACCAGCAAAATGTGAAGTGTTTTTATTTGAACACATTACACTGAGATGAAACTTCAGCTAGGATTACCAGAATTACTTCTATTTGTTAAAGGGCCAATATTATGTGTTTCTCAGGCATGTATTTAAATACTATACCATAATAAAGTATCTATGTCACCT